CGAACCACGGTTTGCTACGTGGGAGTCCAGCGACATAGCCATTATGGTAACTGCTGGCTCTATTATTATTTAATTTGACCAGAAAGAGACAGAGAAAGAGAGAAAGGGAAAGTGAGAAAGCAAGCCAGGAGGTCTAGGACTTGAACCATGGTTGGCCATATGGGAGTCCAGCACGGCAACCACTGCAACCACCTGCCAGCCTCTAACATGCATATATTTTTTTTAACAACAAAGCAACCTAATTTAAAGATGGGCGAAGGACTGGAATAGACATTTCACCTAAGTAGATAAATAAATGGCCAATAAGCACATGAAAAGATGTAAAATATCACTAGTCATTAGGGGAATGGAAATCGAAACATCATACCTATTGGGACCAGCAGTTAGCATAATGGCTATGTCGCTGAACTCCCATGTAGTCGACAGCGATTCGTGTCCCATACCCGGTGGCTTAAAACTCACACCAGGCGCATATGCGTGCGTGCCCAAGATCCCAAGAGGAGAATGGAGGAGAAGGGATTGCAGCGTGGCCGCCCCCCATGGGGGGTGATTTCTCACTCTCTGTCTTTCTGGCAAGTGCATACGCCCTATAGCAAAAACCTCTTAAAAAAAAAAAAAGAATCATACTTATTAAGCTACTCAAAAAATAAAATAACGAGTGTTGGTGAGGATGTGGACAGATTGGGATCTTTGCACAATGTTGGAGGAAATATAAAAACAGTGCAGCCACTGTGGAAAACAATATGGCGATTCTTCAAAACTAGAGGGGGCCAGAAGGTGGTGCTGTGGGAACACAACTGGACTCACATGGGAAGAATACTAGGGTTCTAATCTCTGCTCTGTCTCTCACCAGTCACGTGATGCTACCTAGGGCACTTTTTCTAATTGGATTAAATTCTATTTTTGCTCAAGACCCCATCTTCTCAGAACATGCTGAGCAATAAAATTAATGTTTACTGGGCACTCATCATACCTGTTAGATGTTTAAGCTTCCTGATTTCAAACCTCCCTAGGCACCCCCATATCCCCCTTCTTCTCTGAGTTGTTCTCCACCTTAGGAAACTGAAGCAGGGATTGTCACTCATCTCAGGCCAATGGACTTAATCTTTTTTATTTCAGTCCCTTCATCTGCAAAATGAGAGGACTTGATTTTTAGGGTTCCTTAAGGCCTTTGCTTCCTTGAGCTCTATGATCTGTAAGATAGTCGCATTAATGGTCCGAGCAAACATACAGCCGTCTTGTGGGTACTTGGGCTTTTCTTCTCCCCTGACCTTGGTCACTAGCCTGGCCCAGTGCTCGTGTTCCTGTGTGTCAGCCTTTCCTGTGCATTTTTGCTGACTTACCTTGATGATTTCCCTGGGCATTTCCTGCTTGTAGCTCTACGTTTAGAATCTAAGATCCTTAAAGGTTATACAACACAGGTTGCATTTTTCAGACTGTAGGTTGTGATTCATTGGTGGGCTGTGACTGTATAGAATAAAATATACAATAGAGTGCATTAGTCATGGTAAGAATGAGAAGTATTGTGTAATGAAACTTTTTTCAAAGTTTATTTCCTGATGGGAGGGCACCCTTGACAGAGACTAAATGCTGAAATCCTCCCCCACAGCCCTGCAGCCAGTCAGAATTGTATAGGCTGCCAGAATGTCCGGGAGGACGAGCCCAGCTTCACAGCAGTGCCTCTATGGCCTGCACCGCTGCAGCTGGGCTGTGACATCTCGCTTTAGCTATACAGATACACTGGGTCATGCTGTGAAAGCTATTTTTACTGTAAATCAGGTTTGAAAAACATGATCTAGCCCAGAAGTTAGTAACTAAGCATTTCTGTAAAGGGTCAGTGTAGTAAATAGGTTAAGCTTTGAGAGCCCTATGGTCTCAGTTGCAACTACTCAACTCTGCCATTGTAGCCCCAAACAGCCATAGATAATATGTAAATGAAAGAGCATAGCCATGTTCCAATAAAACTTTATTTAAAGTTTTAGAATTTTATTTAAGAAATAGTTCATATGCCAATGTTCATAGCAGCATTATTTACAATAGCCAAAAGGTGAAATAATCCACGTATCCATCAACAGATGAACAGATAGGGGCCAGCAGGTAGCATGGTGGTTGAGGTGCTGGACTCCCACATGGCTGACCATAGTTCAAGTCCTGGACCTGGCAGCTTGCTTTCTCACTCTCCTTTTCTCTCTGTCTCTCTCTCTCTGGTCAATATTGAAGAATGATGATAACAAATAAAAGATAAATAAATATTTTTAAAAAACAGATGAACAAATAAACAAAATGGGGCATATACTTATAATGGAATATTATTCAGCCTTAAGAAGGAAGGAAATTCCTGGGAACCAGCAGTTAGCGTAATGGCTATGTCGCTGGACTCCCATATAGTCGACTGTGGTTTGCGTCCCGTACCTGGTGGCTTAAAACTCACACCGGGTGTGTGTGCGTGCGTGCCCAAGATCCTGAGAGGAGAATGGAGAAGGGATTGCGGTGTGACCATCCCCCCTGGGGGGTGATTTCTCGCTTTCTGTCTCTCTGTCTCTCTCTGTCTGTCTGGCAAGCGCACGTGCTGTATAGCCAAAATCTCTCCAAAAAAAAAAAGGAAGGAAATTCCTATACATAAGATAGACAAACCTTGAAGACGTGCTAAGTGAAGTAAGCCAGACATTAATAGATAAGTACTATATGATCCCACTTAGAAATATAATAGGCAAACGCATGGAAACAGAAAGTAGAGTAGAGTTATGGGGAGAAAGTAGGGAAAAACCAGAATTATTAATGGGCACAGAGTTTCTATTTGAGGTGAATAAAACATTCTGAAACAGATAGCAGTGCTGATTACACTGTATTGTGAATTGATGCCATTGAATGCATTGTAATTAATGCCACTGAATTGTATGCTTAAAAATGGTTAAAATAGTAAATTTTTGTTATATATGCGCATATATATATATATATACACATATAATAGGATGCATATGCTCACTGAAAACAGAGAGAGAGAGAGAGAGAGAATGAGAAATCCCTGGGGGGATGGCCATGTCCCAATCCCTTCTCTTCCATTCTCCTCTCGAGATTTTGGCACACACACATATACGTCCTGTTTGTTTCTCGAGCTGCCAGGTCCAGGACTCAAACTGTACAATTGCCCATGTGGAATCCAAACATTTTAACCATCATGCCACTGGCTGGCCCTTTATTACAATTTTTTTGGGGGGAGAGATCTTTGCTGTAGGGCACATGTGCTCGCCAGAGAGACAGAAAGATACAGATATAGATATAGATATAGATATATATAAAGAGAAATCACCCCCTAGAAGAGATGGTCATCCACAATCCCTCCTCTTTTATTCTCCTACTGGGATTTTGGGCACTCATACACATGCACCCAGTGTGAGTTTCAAGCTGCCGGGTCCAGGATTTGAACCACAGTTGGCCAAGTGGGAGTCCAGTGCCTTAACCATTATGCCACCTACTGACCCCTTTACTATAATTTTTCTTTAATATTCCATTATATGTTTATAGCATATTTTCTTTTTTTTAGAATTATTTTAATTAACTTTATATATTTATTTTAATTTGACCAGAGAGGAATAGAGAGAGAGAGAAAGTGAGAAAGCAAGCCTCCAAGTCCAGGACTCAAATCACAGTCAGCCATGTAGGAGTCCAGTGCCCTTAACTACCACATCACCTGCCGGTCCCCTTTTACTACAATTTTTAGAGAGAAAAAAGAATGGCAGCAGGCTGGATGTGGCCCATGGGCCTCAGTTCACCAATTCCTGGTCTAGTCCCAAGACCTATGAATGGTTTAAACCCCTTTAGAATATTATCACCAAGCAAATAAATACCTAGAGTAGGGTAGAATAATGAATGTCACATGGAAGAGTTGAAACAACTGAATTAAGATTGTTGAGGTGAGTGTACTTCAAAAACAATATGTGAATCACGCAGCATTTATTCGTATTACTTATCACCCAGGAGCACTTATCTGCTGGACTCTGGCTATGTCAGTTGTTAGGCCTTTAGGCTTTCATCAATGCTTCAAGGGAATTTGTAAAGGAAAACTTGGCCACCAGAAGGAATGATGAATATGTCACAGAATATTATCTAATGCTCTATTGTAATTGTAGAATTATTGATCCCTTTAAGCCTTTTTTATTAATAATAGATATCAGATAAGAACATTTTAAAAGTTTTCAAAATTACAGAAATCCATTCCTATAACTAGTTTTGTAGCACAAAATGGAAGCAGTAGCTTCTGCCAATTTGTGTATGACATGACTTAGTTGTTTAATAAACTAAGGGGCTCACACCAAAGAGTGGCGAGAAGACAACCTCTGACCAGCGCATAAGACCTGCACCACCAATTCAGCAAAGCCCACTTTGCCTCCTGGCTGCATCTTCCTGAATTCCACTGAGTACTCATACTCACACTTCACTTCTGTGAGATTTAGCATCAGCGGAAATGTCAAAACCAGAGGAGGTTAAAAAATACTCAAGTTCACTTTTTAAAAAGAATTATTTACTCTTAATTTTCTTTATCCATTAATTTATTTTAATTTGACCAGAGAAAGACAGACATACAGAGAGAAGGAAAGTGAAACAGCAAACCACTAGGTCCAGGATTTGAACCAGGGTCAGCCATGTGGGAGTGTCCAGTGCCTTCACCCCCATGCCACCTGCTGGCTTCCTCCCTTTTTTAAGGATTATTTACTTAATTTCATTTATTCATTCATTTATTTTTACTTCAGTTCATTTTAAGAATTGAATTTGAAGGGCTAGCAGTTGGCATGGAGTTTAAGGCATCAGCTCCCACATGGCTGACTATGTGGTTCAAGTTGTAGACCTGGCAGCTTGGAAAACACGCCTGGTGCATGTCCATGAGTATCCAAAATCCCAAGATGAGAATGGAAAAGGGTCTGTGGAGGGACTATCTCCCCTGGGGGGGTGATTTGTCACGGTCCCTCTCTATCTCTCTCTCTCTCTCTCTGGTGAGTGCATGCACCCTAAAGCAAAAACAAAACAAAACAAAAAAATTGAATTTGAAAAGTGCCAGGCAGGGAAAGCAAGAGGATAAGGATAGATCTATCCATTTATCAGTCAAATATGTGTCTCTGGGCCAGCAGGTGGCATGGTAGTTACGTGATGGATCCCACATGACTGATTCTGCAGTTTGAGTCCTGGACTGGCAGCTTGGAAAACACGCCAGGAATGTGTGCTTGCTGCCCGCCCCCCTCCTGCCCGCCAAAAAAGTGTCTCTTTAGGCATAGCGGAATACAAAGCATTCTGCTCCAGCCATAGCCCAGACTCCAGCAGGAGGTCGAGGCCACATACTCAGTTGACAATCCCGCCTCCCATAGGTGCAAACTATGGTCATTTTTGCTACAATGTGACTTGGAGCTCTGTCTTTACCCTTAAGTAGTAGACCAATGACAACCCAAGAGATGGTCCCACATTCTCTCTTTTGTGGCTAGCCATTCATATAAAGAAATGTGCTTTCAACGAATGGGTTAGTGCAGAAATTAACCTAGAATTCATGGATGTGTATCAAGTGGTCCATAAATGCTTAATATTGTGTGTAAATTTTTGTACTTGTATGTGTTTTTCTGTGAGAGAGGCTCTGTATCTTTTATCAGATTCTCTAAGTGACACAGATTCCAAAAACGAATCAAGAATAGTGTCACACTGGACTCACTGAACTGAACGTCAGTCGTTTCCTGGCCGAGTAACAAGAGAACTGTGCTTGAGACTCCCCTCAACCCCAAACTGTAACTCAGTCTCTATTCCCAAAGAGATGCGCATCATTTGAGGACTATATTTGGCCCCTAATTCAGGTCATGTACCATGTTTTTAAAGTGCCCAGGTTAAGCTCTGCCCACCTAGCCCTAAGGACCCAAATGCTCATACAACACACCAAGGCAGACATTCCCTTTAGATTGCTCCTAATGACTTGAATCAGGTCTTCAGAGTTTCAAGGCAGGGCATTTTAACAACTGGATATGTCGCAGGTTTCACTGGTTGAGAAAACTATACGAGACCTCTGATAAAGTAAAACTTATACCTTGGGTTGGACTAAAGGAACCTTGTAAACCAATGAACTTAAAAAGTGTTTATTTGGGCCAGCCAGTAATGTGGTGGTTAAGGCAGCTGGATCCTATAGCAAAAACCTCTCAAAAACAAACAAACAAACAAACAAAAACCTCATGCCAGGAACATGTGTGTGTGGGCACAAAATCTCAAGAGAAGAATGGAGGAGAGGGGATTGTGGCATGGCCATCTCCCTGGGGGGTGCTTTCTCACTCTCCTCTTCTCTATTTCTCTGTCTGTCTCCAATGAACACAAGCACCCTATAGCAAATTAAAACAAAACAAAACAAAACAAAAAAAACCCCTGATTCTCAGGCTGGGCCCTCCCCGTACACACCAGGAGTGAGCATGCATGCCCATGACTGGAGCTGGCTGGAACTG